CTATTCTTATTTTTGTTTCTTGTGCCTTTTCTTCCTTTTTTGATGTTCTAAGGTTTTTTCATTTATTTTTTCCTTTCTGTTTACAGAACTTCCTTTAGCCATTCTCTTTCGGAAGGTCTGGTGGTGACAAATTCTTAGTTTTCCTTAACCTGAAAATGTCTTGATTTCTCTTTTATTCATGAAGCTTATTTTTGTTAAGATTCTGGGTTGACAGTTGTTTTCTTTCAACAACTGAAAAATATTGTATTCTTTCTGGCCTCCAAGATTTCTAATGAAAAATCCTCTGTCATCTGAATTGTTTTTCTTCTGTAGATAAGATGTCATTTTTCTCTGGCTGCTTCCAAGATTTTTCTTTGCCTTTTATAGTCAGAAGTTAATGATATTTCTTGGTGTGGATTTCTTTGAGTTTATCCTGTGTAGATAAACTCCTTTCTGAATCTGTAGGTTTATGTCTCTTGACAAATTTTTAAGTTTTTCAGCCATTATTTCTTTAAGTACTTTTTCAGTCCTACTCTCTTCTTCCTCTTTTCAGCTCTCTGATAACATGTATATTAGATCTTTTATTATGAGGCTCTCTGTTCATTTTTTTCATCTATTTTCTTTTAGTTGTTTAGATTGGGTTATTTCTATTATTCTGTATTCCAGTTAACTGATTCCTCTGTCCTGTCATCTCCATTTTTTGGTTGACCCCATTCTTTTAAATTTTTATTTCAGTTATTGTATTTTTAAGTTCTAAAATTTTCATTTGTTCTTTTTTATATCCTCTATTTCTTTGCTGAGATTGTTATTCCCTTTGTTTAAAGTATGTTCATAGTTGTTCTTTGAAGCATTTTTATTATGTCTGTTTTAAAATCTTTGTCAGATAATTTAGTATCTCTATCATCTTAGTTTGGGCTCTTTTCATTCATTTATCTTTTTAAAATTTGTTGTGACATTTCCTTGGTATCTTGAGTGATTTTCCTTTGAAACCTAGGCATTTTTGTATTATGTTATTGGACTCTGGATCTTATTTAAACCTTTTAGCTGGCTTTCTATGACACTACTTTGGTAAGGGAAGTGGGAGCTGGTGGTTCCACCTTATTACTTTCAGGTGGAGGTGAAAGTACAGGTTCCCTTCTGTTGACACCTGAGGGGAATCTCCTCATTATTTCTGAATGGTGTTAAGCTCATTACCACTGGGAAGGGTGAACATGCTGATTTTCCTCTAGACTTCCTCTGACAGTGGGAAGGACAAGAGGTGCCTTTTTATTCCCAAGTGGGTGGGAGTCAAGGGGTCCCAGTGTTATCAGTACTGATACCACTGGTAGAGGATCATTACTGGCCAGCAGGGATGAAAATCTCATCTTCCTACTTGGCCTTCCTTGACACTACCACATTTGGGGGTTGGGGTACCTCATTACAGCCTCATAAAGGTAGAAATACAGGCTTTCCACTAGCTTTTACTAGGAGTGGGGTGGGGGTTACAAGTTTTTCTCTGTTGTTTGGTTTGAGTAGAGCAGTTATTGTCTAAACATTTTCTGTCTTACCAGGATGCCCATTTCTTTGTGCTCTGGCTAAATAGAAAGGCTTTTTAAAATTTACATTCATTTGCATTTCTGTGTTGTCTGCTTCTTCACTTCTAAGTCTGGGGCATATAAAGTCATAAAGAAAACCCAGGGAACTTACCACTATGTTGTCCCTTGGGTCCTGAGGTCCCTAGCTTTTCCATCTTCTTCTTTCCTGTCTTTCAGTGTCTCTTATATGAATTTTATATATTATGTCCAGGGTTTTTAGTTGCACTTAGTGGTAAGAATAGAAAAAAGTACAACTACTCCATCTTCCTGGAAGTGGAAGACTCCTTGATGATTTTTTTTCATGGTTTTATCAATTACTGAGAAAAAAGTGTTCAAATATCTTTTGCTTTAGGATTTATTTTTGCATAATACATGTAAAACCTATCACTGTGCATGTTGCAGATTAAGTTCTTATTAAATGTATTTATTTATCCCACAAATATTTCTTGAGCATCTAGTATGTGCTAGGCTATATTCAACTCATCAGTTATTTAACAGTGAACAAAACAAGAAGTCTCTGCCCTTTTCGAGCTTATATATTAGCTGAGGGAGACAGATATTAAACAAATAAATAGTTAAGTGGTAATAAGTGCTATGGCTAGATATAAAGCGAATCAGGGAGATAAGAAGTTATAATTGCCAGGGCAGGGAGAAATGGTTGCCTTTTGATACTGAGTATCCAGAGAAGGCCTCTCTAATAAGGTGTAATTTGACCAGAATCCTGCGGACATTAAGGATCAAGCAGTATGGATTTCTGAGTGAAGAGAAGGGACCCTTCCTCTGCTCTGGTGAAATGACAGATTACTAAGCTTATTTCTAAGGGAAGAATGACATCAGAACCTTTCACTGGTCAGGGTAGGGTGGAAATTTAGAACAGTGTATTGCTTCCAAGATGAAGAGTTAGAAGATCTTGCTCTAGGTCTGGCTCTGCCATTATTAGTCATACGACCTTTGGTTTGTCAAAAGTTTTCTACCTCAGTTTCCAAAAAGGATTCTGTTTATCTCACATGGTTATGAGAATCCAATGACTGACAAATTGCATGTAAAATCATTTTGCAAATAAAGCAGATTTCTACAGATATAAGATACTGTAATTGTATCATTATTACTGACATTGGTGTCCAACTTGGAATCAAAAGTATTTAGATTGAATTTATAGATTATTTTTAGCTCAAGCTCTTCATTTTATAGATGAAGAAACTGAGGCCCAGAGCAGTTGTAGCTTACTTTATAGGTGTATAAATGGGGGGGCTACAGAATGTAATATCTAATTTTTTGTGAAATTTTTTTTCAAAAGCTTTGGTGATAATATAAACCTGTGGCTTTCACAGTGTAGTCCCTGGACTAGCAGCGTGATCATCACCTGGGAGCTTGTTAGAAATGTGAATTCTTCAGCCCTGACTTAAACCTACTGAATCAGAACATCTAGAGATGGGGTCCACAGTCTGTGTTTTAACAAGACCTCCAGATGATTCTGATGCATGGTAAATCTGAGAACCACTGCTGTGGAGATTCATAAATCCATTGACTCATAGGAATGATACTGGAAGAAGACTTAATGCCCAGGGTCAGCCTTCAGCAAAATTGTGAATAAATCACCTTTGTGGAATCCTTTGTAAATCTTTCCTCTCTTCCTGCCTAGGGCTACCTTTTCTTCAGGCACATCCAAGGAACCTCTTTCTTTAGATGCTTTCTTAGTTGGTTAGTCAGTAGCTCTAGTTAAGGTATTAGTTGAAATTAGTATATTTTCAATTTAATAAGAGATTAAATAAAGTGAACATCCTCCAGGATCCCAAGAATTCAGTATCTAATATAGGAGATTTGGATGTAAGATAGTTAGAAGGAGAGGTAATGTTTTAAAATGGAGAGATCTTGAGATTTCTTCTGTTCTTGCTTTCTGTTTGGTTATTTGAACACTCATGAATGGAGTGGAAAGAAAAAGATTTGTGATATTTCCAGTGTCAGTATGTCAGTGATCCCAGAATTTGCTTCCAGTAACCATGATCTTTAAGTCCTCAGAACATAGAGAAGAAAATATACTGGCCTTATTATAAATTTTTAGGAGGTTTTATTAGTGTCATAATGCCTGACTAGCTGCCAAAACACTAAGGCATGGTCATCTCTGCTTAGTTCCCTGTGTGTACATTTTAAATACTTTTATCTACAAGTTAGAGAAAAAGTCCCTTGCTTTTTATAACATTTCACAATCTTCCTTCAGTCTCAATTTCTTTCTATGACAGTAAATCTTAGTGCTACAACCAGGTATGAATCAGTCTTTAGCCACCTCTGTTGCTCTTTATTCAAATTTGTTCATTCTTAGAGATAGCTTCCTACGCTTTCCTTGCATGCATCCTGTTTGAGTTCTCATATCCAGCATCAATAGGTTAGAAATAGTTCCCATATCTCAGTAATGCCTCGAATCAATTAAAGAAAAGGCAAAGAGTATTATAAGTAGTCCAAAATTATCATGTGTGGCTTTGCTATAGTAGATAAGGAGATAAGTCTATAAGTAACGTAATCTGTGAGGAGGATGAGGAAGAATATTAACCAGAACAACTGTGACTCTGTATGCTTGCTACTTTAATTAGGGAACCCAGAATAATTGACCTATGTATAATGGAATCCACTCTGAACTCTCTACATAAGCGGTTATTTAAATGAGTTAGGAGATGGAATAATAAAGCAATTGCCCAGTGCTTTTGAGGTCAATAGGTTAACTCTACAGAGCTTAATTAAAATGTAATAATAAATGCCTACTTTAGGCAGGATATTTCATTAGTCTTCAACATGGCATAGGTGAAATATTCCTTATAATTATTTTCTACCCCTTTTAAATTCTCTTCTTATGAAGCAAGCTTTTCATTACTAATTAGGATTCCCACATCAGGGAAGGAGATTTCACAAAGCAGCCTCCCCATTAGAAAAGACTACACCACTGTAAAAGAATAAATTGATATTCTAACTATCATATTTTTTGGATATCCACACAATGAAGCCAAATTTTAAGTTTTAAGAAAGTATCAAAAATCACACTGGTAATGGCTATGATAAAATTTCAGTCATATTGTTTTTGAAATTTAGAAGTAAATTCCCTGTATCTTTCCTCCTTGAAATATGTAAGGAGGAAATATAGAGAAAAGTCAGGTTCCTTGGTAATCAGAACTGTATGTAGAAATTAGAAGGTGAACAGGAAAATTTATCTAAATAGTTATGTCCATTTTTCTTGGAGAGGGAGGAGGTTCAGAGGAATAGAATTTCTTCTTCCAAATGGAAATGAAATCTATAACCACAAAGTAACTGGAAGGTTTGAATGCTTTGAACTGTTTAATTTGTTTAGTGCTTTCCCAACCCTTTCTTTATACTGATATTAGAATCTTGCTTTCATTTTGCATTCTTGTTCATTTCCATGTGCATCATCTTTAATAGCTTTCTAAACTATCTTTGCAGGCTCTGGTCTTTCCCATCTTACTCATCTTCCCATACTGCTGCCCGAATTGTATCAAGTCTCCTCCTCAAGAAATTTGACCAGTATGATGTATGTCCTAATTCCTCAGCATTGCATACTGAGCCCATACCCTTCACAGTCAGGCCTTAACTTCCATATCTGGCCTCATCTGCTACCCTTTGCTCATGAAGCCTACGCTTAAACTTCTCTGAAAAATCATGCCTGTTTTGTCTTCTTAGAATGACCATATCCTTTTCTCTTTCACCTAATAACTGTCTACTCATATTTTAGGAACTAGCTCATTCTTTGAGAAGCCTTGCTGGACTCCCCTGGTTAGCAGCTCACTCGATGTTATTGCCACACTTTGGTATCATTCTTCTGTCAAGGGTATGTATTATTATTTTGCTCCATATCTGTGTGAACTTTTGTCTCCCCCACTAGATTGAGCTCCTCAGAGACAGGGATGACTTTCATGTCATTGGAGCCCATTTCAGCACCAGACACATACTTGGTACTCAGTAAAATTGGCTGAGTGGAATTGAGAGTTCATTTATCACCTTTACACGTCCTCAGAGCACCTCATTTCATCCACCTTCTGTTAAAGTCACTGCCCACATTCATTTTTGTCATCATCTGTATTGCACATAGTAGGAACTCAACAAATGTTGAATGAAGGAATAGTACCATATTAATAGTACCATAGATCTTATAGTCTACCTTATAGTCTAATAGTACCATCTATCTTATAGTCTATAGATCTAATAATACCATAGATCTAATAGTACCATAGATCTTATAATAAGAAACAAATGTATTTTTAGATTGCAAAATTCTCTGCAGATTTTATTTTCTTGATATATAGGACAGTGACAAAGAACTTCACATTTTGTGCATTTCTTCAGTCACATTTTCTTTTGTTAGAATGAATTACTCTTCACTTATGATTTTTGTGTGAACCTCTCGGCTCTTCACCCGCAGTTTGTTGACCTGGGACTCAGCAATGTCAGCCCGCTCCTCGGCCTCCTCCAGCTCGTGCTGGATCTTGCGGAACTTGGCAAGGTTGACATTGGATTGTTCCTCCTGAGAACAGAAATGCATTTGAGAGAACGAGAAAGTTTGATATTTTATGATTGTTAATGTCTTTGTTACTCAGAGCAACTACAGGATTTGCTTCATGAATGGGAAAGCAGAAAGTTCTGTTGTTTAGTGACATATGGCATCCCACAAACTCGCCTATGTGAATAAGTATTCTTATAATCCCCTCTTCAGTCTCTCTCACTTGCCTCTTTGGCACTTGAAGATGCTACTATGACAATAGGGAGATCAAAGTAGCAGGGATCTGATGCAGTCTTGTTTCTTAGAACAAACTTTAAAACATAGGTGCAGTGGTGGTATTGAGTAGAGAAAACCTTAAGGAAATTTTCAGAATTAACAGGATGAGAAAAGATAACTGCAGCCAAATTGAAAAACAAAAAACAGTCCCAGGATGGATTTATCATAAATTTAAATAAGGCTTAGAATTCAGGCCCTCATTTGTACAGGGCTTATGAGTACTGGGAGTTATAGAGTGTTCTGGATAACAGAGGGAAATGGGTTGCAACCAAGAAGAATTTCTTTGTTAACATGTACGGAAAATTGCTTAAAGAGGTTTCAGGAGAAATAAACTCAAGTTTCTAAGGCTCCGGTAATTTGTGGTTCTTTTTCTTCATTTTAAATATTTACTTTTATACCTAATTCTATATTTCCAATTTTGTGTTCTTTGCCTTTAGAAAGCCCTTTAAATTCCATAAGCTTCAGACTCCATAAAACCTGCATCTGCTTTTTCACTATGGAGATACTCACGGCCTCTTCAGCTTGTCTCTTGTAAGCTTTAACTTTGGTTTGTAATTTGTCCACCAAATCCTGCAGCCTGAGAACATTCTTGCGGTCCTCATCAGTCTGAAAGAGGTAGTAAATAGATAGTGCCATTATTTGAGAACAACTCATTCTTTTTATTTTCTTGAATGCTGTAGGCCTAGAAAACTCTGGTCACCTGGTAAGTGAGTTCCTTCACTCTTCTCTCATGTTTGCGAAGACTCTTGACAGCCTCAACATTGCGCTTCTGTTCACTTTCCACCTCATTTTCAAGTTCCCTCACCTGGAAGAGAACAGAGGCGTTTAACAGTTTGGCTGCAAGTAGCTGCGTGGAGCAAGCCAGGAATTGGTTGAAGTTGCGGACACCCACCCTGGCCTCCAGTTTCTGGATCTGCTTCTTCCCGCCCTTCAGCGCCAGCTGCTCGGCCTCGTCCAGACGGTGCTGCAGGTCCTTCACCGTCTGCTCCATGTTCTTCTTCATCCGCTCCAGGTGGGCGCTGGTGTCCTGCTCCTTCTTCAGCTCCTCGGCCATCATGGCGGCCTAGTTAATAAATAAACCAAGAAAATAATGAACCTCGATGATAACAGGTAACACACATGTGTCAGTAAGACAAATGCTCATCTTGCTCACATCAGTGATGGCCTTCTTGGCCTTCTCTTCTGCATTGCGGGCTTCCTGGACAATGTCTTCCATCTCTCCCTGGATATGGGAAATGTCTGTCTCCAGCTTCTTCTTGGTGTTGATCAGGCTGGTGTTCTGTTTCAAATTAATAAAAAAGAAGAAAAGCACATTAAATTATAACCATTCACATGATCATTTTAACTAGTGTACAAAGGCATAAATTGCTGATCGTATGAAATGTTTAGAATAAAAACCAAATCATAAGTCAATTCTAAGGTTACAGCTTTCCCCTTTCTACTCATATCTCTGTTAATCATTCTCCTAAAGTATTCCAGGTAAGATTTAATTTGTGATACCAAACATATTTGACTATTTTCAGTGGCTGTTTGCAAGCATAAAATACAACCCCCCAAACTTAAAGTGCTATGCCATGTAGTAATGCACAGCTCATTTGAAATGTATTATTAATTTTTAGCTGTTCATTCATATTTGTTGGCTCCATATTGTTAATAAGAGTACATAAGTAGCATCATCATTGGTACAAAAATGAGCCAAGAATACTGCATGTTTTTGGAAAGATGACAGTATTTGAAACATCTGATCAATTCTCGATGCTCATAATGAGTAAGAAAAATGTTCCATATTAATTTGATTTAAAATTATATGTAGCATGTGATTTTAGCCCTTCTATACTGGCTATTTTTATATATTGCGACTTTTGAAAGTATAGAATAATATATGTTTATTGTAAAAATAGAATATTCAAATTAGCAAAAAAGAGGCAAAAAGTAATTATCATACTCTCCCTAACCAGAGATAAAAGAATAAACTTTGGTTTATAGTTCTGGATGTTTCCTTTATATTTTTACACAGGAACAAAGATCATGTATTCTATATTATTTTTAAGTTGCTTTTTTTCACTTATTATAATGTGAATGTCTTTCCATGGTGGTAAATGCATACTACAATGGCTGGACATTAGCCATTGCGAGGACAGACGACCATTTATTTAACAAATCCACTATACACAACAAATGCTAACTGGTACTATTGATGGCCTCCATGAACTTGAACTAAAGAGCTAATTTTTGTATCCCCTGTGGTTAGCCTTATGTGCATATGTGATACATAGATATTATTTAGTGGCTTACCTTCTTTCTCCTCTATTTATTTGCTTATCTATTTGCACCTTAGAGTTACAAAAGACAAGATGGTTACCAATGTTGTATATATGGTTATTTGTAGGTGGTCTTCTGTGCCTCTTTGTAACAGTTTCTAGAACTCCTGAGTATTTCACATCAACATGATTATGCCAGCTCATCAATATACTTATGAACCAGCTAGGTCCCAGTACATACTTATATCACCTTGTACATTTTCCAGAATTATAGGAAGGGACCCCTGCCAAGATTACTCCTGACTTTACAAATAAGCTTATCTTCTCAAATTGTCTTCCCCTTTAGGGAGTACATTTGCTAACCATAATCCTGAACCTCACCTGAGTGTGCAGAAGTTGCACACGCTCACTGGCATCCAGAAGCTCTTGCTCTGCCATTTTCCTGCTCCTCTCAGTCTGTTCCAGGGACGCCCTGAGCTCTTCCACTTCAGCCTGCATCAGGTTAGCTCTGCGCTCAACCATTGCCAGCTGTTCTTTCAGGTCATCTTGGCTTCTGATGGCATCATCCAAATGTAGCTGAGTGTCCTACACAGAAAGAGAAAAAAGACTCTTACTCATGCTTTAATTAAAGCAAATGCAAATTTAGAGTCATGTACACACTTTGATCTTAATAATTCAGAGTAGGACTAGCTAGGAACAATCTGTGAGTACCATTAATGAATTCTTTGTTGCTTGAGTGGCAGTTCTACTCAAAAGAACACGATGTTATATTATTTTAGATCCTGAATCATAAAAAGAGTACCATGGCTAAATCTACACAATTTCAGATCAGGAAAGCATCCTTAGAGACCAGCTAGTTCAATGGTGTCCAAAGTGAGGTGACACAGATCAGAAAAACGGGCTTCACATGTACTCGCCATCAAATTGGTACCGACTGATTAACACTATGGTGCTCAAATGGTGGTGGTGTTCACCAGGGATTTGGGGGTTGGGGGTGTAGACCCACATCTGAGGGATGTAGTGAGCATTGTGGAGGGGAAGGGCATACCTGTCACCCTTGCTAAGGAGAAGCAAAGTTATAAAATGTAACCAAAATGTTAAAGAAAAAAATTATCAGGTGTTGGGCAGGTGGGAGGGGGGAGGAGGGAATGGGTATATGGGGGGATGGACACGCTTGAAGCTCTGACTCGAGGGGGGAGGGGAGGCAAGGGCAATATATGTAATCTTAACATTTGTACCCCCCTAATATGCTGAAATTAAAAAAAGTAAAAAAAAATAAATGAAATCCAAATAAATGAATTGATTTAAGCAATGGCATGTTGCCAAACTCTCTCATCACTTCCTCTGTCTCTCCACCCATCTCCATGTGTTTTTTTTACAGATGACAAAGCAAACTCTGCTCTGGGCCTTCTAGAACTAAGCTCTTTTTCAGCTGTGTGCATGTATTTTTCAATGGATTACTGACCTATGGGCCTCATTAAATATTAAAATTTGAGTTATACAATGGCACCCAGACTGTAGGACACCATGTGTGTTTACCCTAACGTACCTTTAGCACTCCTTGTGTGTTTCTAAGATTCCTTATTGCCTCAGAAGCCTGGCGGTTGGCATGGTTCAGCTGGATTTCCATTTCATTAAGGTCTCCCTCCATCTTCTTTTTGATCCTCAGAGCATCATTTCTGCTCCTAATCTCAGCATCAAGTGTGCTCTGCATCGACTCCATGACTCTGAGATGGTTCCTCTTTAGCTGATCAATTTCTTCATCTTTTTCAGCAATTTTTCGGTCAATCTCTGATTTCACCTGATTTAACTCAAGTTGGATGCGAAGAATTTTGCCTTCTTCATGCTCAAGAGATGCCTTAATGAAAGCAACATTTATTTAGTTACCTAAAGAGCTTTTTTTCCCTTTCACATTATGATGATTTCTCCAAGAAGGCATTGGAAAAACCGCAGACTTTCATACATCTTAATTTATATGATTAACTCTGCATTCCCAAGGTACAATTCAGTATTTTTCAATGAATTACATGTGTTATCTGTTAAAGGTTTGCAACATCATACATCTCAGTTGCTATTAATTTTTCTATTTATTTATAATGTATAGCTGAGCAAATGACACATGTACCTCTGCT